ACCCTCCACTTTGGACCAACTGTCCAGTCAGAAGGGCGCAGAATAACCACATCGAACACGTAAGACTGGCCATATACTTTCTAGATACAAGGGTTGTAAAATCAAGTTAGGACTTAGAACTTTAATAACATCAATTCTTCAACATAGTCTCCTGATACATTTGTATCCACACATATCCAAGCCCTACCTGACGGTTTACCTTACTTCGACACCGGAGCTGAAATACTGACTTCTTGAGTAGTCTGGCAGGTACAAACCTGGATCCTTGAAAAGACCATTCAAATATCACACCGGTGAGCGGTTAAGGGTACTCGATGCAAGTAGATATCCAGCGGCATGATGTCTTCGTACACAGCAAACCACTAAACGCTGACATCCGGGCCAACAGTGTCTGGATTGGCGCATGACACATGCATCACCAGGTCAAACACTACGGTACCGTTACTGTCTCCACGTCTCAAATTGACCCCAGTGCAGACGTAGCCAGAACGGTACGAAACTAAGGACACAAACTGACGCAAATTGAAAACTGCGTGCAGTTAAAGGAACAATTAAAACAAGTACGTTTTGTCAAAGTACCATAAATGTGAGATTTGCAATCTGGTAAAGTTTTTCAATATGTTCCTCCTAAATGATAAAGGCGCTTTAGTCACCAAATAACGGGTCGTATTCTACCGTTAGAATCGGCGCGATTGCTTGTTGGAGTAGACAGTGGTGCCGAATTCGAAACAAGAAATCAAACCATTCTTACAGACAAATCCCCTCTCTTTGTTATTAACATGTCTTTAAAAAAAGACATTAATTGTATTTTCCGGCCTCTTAGTAGGGCTTAAGATTAACACAGAGCTAAGACAATTACCGCTTTTCTGGATACAAAACAGGGCCAGTGGCTGAAATCCCTGCTTGGGCCTTTTTCCCTCAGGCGCATGTTGTTGCGAGATACCTCGTTATCATTGCGTAAAATGGCCTAGAAATTCTAAAAATTCTCATGCGGAACGCGCTGGTCTCTTACACTCCTCCCCCCTTTGCTCCAATAACGAGATTCACACGCAAATCTTCCTTCAAATAGAGTCCCCTTTCACTTCTTCTACTGTTGTTACTGCTGCCGTTGTTGATGCTGGCATTATTGCTGTTGAAACTACTACTTCTGTTCACGGAACAGCTGTTCTCATCCATCACTGCTGGCCAAACAGCTGCTTAGCCTTCTTCTCCCTTCTCCTCCCTCCCTCCCTTCGCCATCGCCCTCCCGTAACTTGTTGCATTTCGCCCAGCTGGCACTTGTCTTGGTGGCCCTGAAATCTGATTGGATAAGGCCTTCATCGACTGCTTATAATGCACATTTCATGCTTTGCTCAGCCAATCAAATAGGCGATCGATTAAGTGGCCCGAATTCGTGATTGGTTGGTACTGCTTAGGTTGATTTACTCTTAAAGATGAATAACACTCAAGTTGTTTAAGCCCATTTGTTTTTCCAAAAAAAAACAAACAGCTTGATTATGATTAAACCATAAATGCTCTTTTTTGCAAATGCAATACACGTCGAATTTGGTTGATGATAAATCCAATTTTTAAATGTAATTCGCGATGAAATCAGTTCTGCGCAACCAAAAGACGATAACAAAATATTTTGGAATGGATTTGGACCTCTGAAGGTGAAAGTCAGTGACGGCAATCTACAATCGTTTACGACTTACATCACTTTCCTAGGTAAGAAGTTCTGGACTGGACTTTTGATTTCTACAATATTTTTGTCCCCAAATAGAGTCCCATGTCACAGGCATTCTACTTGATTTTTGAGATAAATGAATTATTTTGTATATTCCTCTATTATTTGCAGATAACCTATTGACTAGTCATTATTTTTAAATGAACCCGTACATTGAGATTGGAGTGAGTTGGTTGGATAAATTAGCAGGTGAAAAGTGGACAGCCAATGGTGAAAGCCGTAGAGCCATCAGCATGTAATTATTCCCAACGAATGACGTTTTTGCACGTTGAAGGTCGATAAATCACTGACTGCAGCTTATCCGCTAAAAAAGCCCTCCGGCGGCCATACAAACTTCGCCGGAAAATGAAGGAAAAAAGAGGCACCTTTGCGTTTTTAATCCTTGAAGCGATAACATGCCACTCTGGTCAGCGGGGTAGTTTGGGGCGGTATGTCCGTTGGATGAATGGAGCAACCACAATGCAATCGGAAATGTGTAGCAGTAATAATAAAGTAGGTTTTTAGTTACTTTCCATTTCAGTTTCCCCAATGATACTGCTTGCAATTACACCCGCAGAGGTGCATTTTGCTAGGAAACACCTTGAATTGTTATTGCAACCTTTTTATTGTAGGTTTTCATATCCTAAATTTTCCTTACACGAATGTGTTGTAGTGCTCAAACGACGCTGGTGGCTGGATTTTGCCTAGACAGGAAACTTCTGTTAAGCACCTATAACTGTGTCCGGAAGTGGCCATAGCGGAAACCTTTCAATCATGCGTGAAATCCTCTCCTGTTTTGTTACACGTTTTAGCCTTGTTAGAAAAGTCTGGCAAACATTTGCAGACAGAAAAAAAATGGTGAGATTTTTATCCAATTTTCCTTATTTTAAAAGAGTGAACGTCTTCGAGATTCGCAAAGCTTGCTTGCAAATTTTCTTTCCCTTGTGGGGAGCAAAACGATCAGACACGGATTATTCAAAAGAACTAAGTCGTCAAATGACCTCTTAAAGTATTTCCTGATAGGCAGAATAGTTGTAAACAATATCATTTGGATAGTTCCTAACTACGAATTTCTTGTATTTACTTGGAAAAAGGTTTCTTTTTAATTCGAACTTGTTTAATTTAATTGGTCATTCAATTTACCTGTTTAATGTTGTGGAGTGCTCCAAGTCGTTCCTGAATTCTAAAGTAGTCTTAATACTAATACAGTACTTTAAATGTTTGCTTTAGCTGTCGATTTTAGTAACTAGTTACTTGGGGCCCTGCCCTTGTAGCCCTTACGAGTGGCCATGCCAGTGGCTCCCGAGCCCTTCTACACGTCAAAAATACATTGTGTTTAAGTATTGTGGCTTCTTTCGTCTTTAGAGGAGTCTCAAGCGCTATATTAGGACAGAAAATGTATTGTCAACGCAAAGGAGGGCTGAGGAGCCACGGGCATGGCCCAGAGGCCATGACACCCAGCGGAAGAACAATAGCGGAGCTTTCAGTGTCTGTGTGATCAAAATTTGGATTTAAAAACAAAGCATTACATTTTGAATGCGTCAGTGACTCTCCCGTTGATAAGACTGAATCAACAATAATTTAGCCTAATCTTAAACAGACCCTCGAATTTGCAACTTCCTAGGTAGGTAAATAAAGTTTCTACTTTGTGACGTAAATCGAATCGCTACTTCTCTTTCCCTATCTAATCTACCAAGAAATGCGTTGATTCCTTATTTTTATTTTATCATACTCCTTTATGTTACTCAGTTAATCATTTCTGTACCCAGAAAGGAGGCACTTTAAAAATCCCATTGGTTTTAATAGGAATAGAAGCAAGAGCTTTACTGCGAATCTGATCTTTTATTAATTTGTTGCAAGAATTACTTAAGCAACTTCAAATGCCCTAGAGGTGATTCCTTTAATGTTCCCTCCCAATCTCAGAAAGGTGGTCGTAGACGTACCTTCTCTGCATCAATCAAAAATTATTATCTATAATTAGGGTTGTTTGGAGTGAAAATAAAGTGGTGTTATTAAACTATGCTAAATTTGCTCTCCTCCATGAAGGGGTTAATAACAACGACTCCAAAAGCACTGCCACTTAGCCTTTCAACTCTCCCCTGAAGTCGTAGCAAGTCAAAATGGGATGGGAGAGCGTGTAACTGCTGGTGTAGAGGAGGCCTGGGAGACCATTACCAGGCGCAGAACGGAAGCACATCATGCGGAGGCTGAAGTGTCCGGACTGTTAAACACGCAGTTACACAAAATATAAAATAACCACACACACCCATCAATAAAAGTGGTGGATAGTTCTTTTTTATAGAAAAGGCGTCGTTGACAGTGATGAGAAAGCAGTCATTTTTGATAGACGGCTTATCAATTTTCTAAGATCGTTTGTTGATTTTTTGATAATTTGACATCTCTTGGTCTGCTTTTTGTCAATCAACTGACCTGACGTAAAAAATGTCATTGCGGTTATTTAATAATAAAGGGGAAGTTACCAGTACCTGTCGCAGATGAAATTAAGTAATCGAGCTGATTTAAAATAAAACAATCTTACTGGTTTACTCTCTTTTGACTGAGACAAATAGAGAGAATTGAAGAGACTACCTTACCAAAGCGACCAAATTGGATGGTTTTGGTTTGTCGTTGACAGGGACCTATCTGTTGAGTGCCAAGGAGTGATTTTATGTCAAAAGCAATTTTAGAGGAAACCTATAACAGCAGGCAACTATTTGGCCAAAACCTTTGCACTGGGTGAATTGCTAATAAGGCCAAATCTTAAAAGATGCTATCGAGGATTTGGAGTTCGTAAAGAGACACTACTTTTCTGTCGATTTTCCGAACATTTATAATGTGACACCTCGAGACTCCCCTGAGGACGAAAGAAGTCATAACACTTGGGCAAAATGTGTATTGCCGGCGTGGATTAAGGGGTGGGAGGGCTGCTGGCTCAACCCGGAGGCCATGCTGCCTAGCGAAAGCACAAAGGTGAGGTCCCAAGTGCCCACGAAATCAAAACGAAGGGTTTAAACCGGTAGGCAGAGTAACACATGTCCAAACTAGCATTCATTTTATCTCCCACTCGAGGGACCGTGTCGAAATTATACTTTGATTTGTAAAACAATAGTACATAAAACTTTCCTTTTTTGTCTAGTAGGTGAAAAATGGGAATCATGGTTCCATTCAATATAATACAATCCTTGTTTAAATAAACGCTACGTATCAATCGTAAGATTGGCTTTCTAAGAATAGTTTGATATTCAAACAACCTGTCAATCAATCGCACTGTCAAGAGCTGCACTTCTACCCTTCGTATCAAAATGTTATGGTAGGAGGTTGTTTTTAATCAGTATGTATGAAGGTTCATACTTAAATAAGTTCAACTTTTACCGATTTTTTGGGTCACCATCAAGGCAGCTCATTATCATCATTGGCGTTTCAGGTCAACTCATTGAAGTGGAAAATGCTTAAATATTTATGGCATTCTCATTAACAAAACGAAGTTTTCAATGTTGAAGAAGTGGCTAATGAACGCATGACTTCGTGATTCAAACATTCAGCAAGGTCCCGTTTTAACTGAAGGCTTTGATTTTGAGGTCGAATGGACTTTACGAGAGACTATTATCTAGCACCATTAATTAAGACTCAGTTTACCTATTTCCCGTCTCCACCTAAACAGTGTATTGTAGCACCCTGAGTCTTTCCTGAAGTCGAAAGGGGTCATAATACCAGGACAGAAAATGCATTGCCAAAGTACAGAAAGACTGAGGAGGGGGGCACTGGCATGTCCCTAGGGTCATGACACCTAGCGGAAGCGAAATGGCAGAGCGTTATGTGATCAAATAACCAGAACAGGAAGTTGATCAAAAAACCAAAGCATTGGAGCATGATCCCCCATTTTTACATGCGGCAAAAAACACAAGACCTTTGACCGGTGGGAAAATGAGATACGCACTTTTACTTGAATGTAGTTACCAAGGCAGATGTTATTAATGGGTTTCAAAGAAGATATTAAATGCAACCCAAATTTAAATGAATAAATACCTAGTAATGCGACACTTCATATGCATTAGCTACGACTGTAAAGTGATCCAGTGGCTGATCTCAATGATTGACTGATTTGGCTGCGATTTTATTGGTTACTGGAATCGACCACCGGTTGGAAGTTATGCTTTCAGGAACATTACTTTTGTTTTAGGCATTGAATACGAGCATTTTATCCAGCTTTTTATTCCAGTTTTCAGTTTGAAGTCTAAAAAATAATCTCACGTGGAACATGGAGGGGCCAGCTTACTAAAAGAGCAAAGAAAGGTGGGAATACACTTCGTTGACTATTCCACATCTATTTATACCTCTCATTCTCTACAACAGCGTGGAAGGCAATGGTGCCTTTAGGTGCTTTCAGATTCCCAACATGGTTGCAATGGAAGGTTAGAATGAGATGGCGGCTGCTGAGAAGGGTACGTCACTTCAATTTCATTAGCTTCTCAGCTATACCACTCTCTATCCACAGAAGAGGAAACAATGGCGAAGCCTGGGACACGTAACAGATTAGCGACGCCTCAATTGGACAAAAATTTTGCATTTCAATTATACCGAGCATTGAAAAATCTTAACAACACGAATGCTTAGAGCAATACCTCACCCAACTGGTCCCGAATAAAATGAATCAGTGGTAATGTGATCGTCGGTTATCTATTTAAGTGATTAATAACCAGTCATTTGACTACTATTTTATTGGTCAAGGATGATAATTCTCGATGGGGCTAACTGATAGGGGGTCCAAAAATTGCTCCAATTTGGTTTAATGGAAGTAGTTTGAGGAATCATACTTAGTAACATACATCATATTTAATTTGAAGTCTCTATGCATGTAATGCAAAATCGTTCCAGGATGCGACAAAACAGCACTTGCCACGCCAGAACAAACTTTGTTGATTAACGTCACCACCACCTATTTCGCACACTTTACAGAATGCACCTAACGAGTAAGAAACGGGAACAGAGGCGACGACAAACACACCAGACAGTTGCTTGGTCACTATTAATAACTAAATTTATTGAAAATGTGAAATTTTCAGCCGGACAACAGCCAAAAATCCAGGTGTAAGCACTATTGCAGTGTTTACTTCCCTGGACCAGTTTGAACTTCTCCATTGTGAGGTGAACAGAGGCGTGGCAACCCGATTGCTCTTCACTGCTCAAAGTAGTCAATGATTAACAAAATTTCCTGCAATTGCATTGGTCACTCAAATTCTTTCTTGATTGGATCACCTTTTTGAAGATTCATCTCTTGCTTCAATAACTAAGATGGATATCTATGATATTAACGTGAAAATTATGCAGCACTTCCAATTTACACATTACAAAGTGAAGCCAGGGTGGAATGGAAAAGAACCCAATCAAGGGGACAACTTCGCCTGCTATTTCCCCCAATATCTGTGAGATCTTTCGCACGCAATACATTAAAGAAATGAATTCAACCACTGTGTCGGAAACCTTAGGTTTTCTTTTCACAACAACGAAAAAGTGGTAGGCAAAAACATGTTTGAATTCAAAACTATTGGACTAAGTCTGTCCTAAATGAAATTAATAAACTATCGGTGCCTCTGACCATCCTTCAACAATTCAGGTGCTTAATGACTGACCGTGACCTTACCGGTTCCTAAAGTCGATTGCTGACTGATTGTGATCCCTTTGAGGAGCCTAACTTTTTCATCAACCGGGTTTATGGTCCATGATTTATTACAGCTGCTCTTTTCCATAAAAATGGGAAATTAGTCTAAGATAGCCCGACTTTGTAGAAAAATAGAACGATGTTATTCGAGCCCATCCCGATATCCATCTCCAAAATTTATGAAGACATTAGATTTGACAACAAAGTGAGAGCTGAAGCGATGGTGCTACAAGACCACTATCGGTGCTCCTATCCGTCGCAAACCCCCAACTGAACAGCCGAGAATTATAGTATAAACATGGTCTGGAGCGAAGCCCCCGCCCAAAATCAAGTTTACAGATTAGATCCAACCGATACCATACGACCGAAGGTCCAGTTATTTAGTAACTTTTAAATATTTACTTAATTACTAATTTGCCCATTGGTCTGTGGCGGTTGTCCAACCGGACATTCAACCTGCTACTTCATTGGCCAATGAAAGCCGACACTGGCCGGCCTGTGTTTCCTCAATAAGCATCACCTTTGTTTTGTTTCGATGAGATCAGTTAGGGTGACTCAAAACTTAAATTTATTTGTAACTTATTGAAATTCCTAATTACTTTTGAAGCAGACAAAATCAAGCTTGCCTGGAGTGGCACACAGATAATCCGATCCACTAGGAGAAAAGAAGAATATACCTCGTTTATCAGTCCCACCTATATCTATGTCTCTCTCTCTCTCTCGTTCTTTCCATAGAATGTACTAAAAAAGCAGGAAATAACGCAGTTGATGGATACACATCACGGGTAGCTGTTTGGCTACCAGGGGTGCTCCCAAGGTGTTCCCTATTTCTCTCTACCTCTCTATTTCTCCTCTCTTCTTTGGGTAGGCTTTTTACAACATGTACAATCGGTAAGGTAGATGGGAAAGGAGAGGAAAGGGGAAGGAACGGAAGGCACGAAGGTCCAATTCTTCGGATTTTTCAGTTCTAACTGAAGAAGTACGTTGAAGTAAGAACTTTGGAGAGGTCAAAGTTAGCCTAAAAAGGAAGGAGGTGAATGAAATGTCAGCAGACACTTGAGAGTGAACAGGCATTTGAGTGACAAATAAAGGTGGGTGAATTTGTAGATCAGCAACAGGTGGGATTTTTGCGTCCTTTAAAGCTGCAGTAGCGGCTGAGAAAATGCACGGATGATATTTCCGTTCATTTAACGTTGCAATGCGGAAGCTAGTTTTTATCGCACGTCAGTCAGCAAATAATTACGAAAAAAGTGAAACTTGCTTCCTGTCATCATCAGTTAATGCATGTAGGACCTATTTTCTCACCCTCCATCTCGATTGTTCCCCTCCCAGTTGGCGTAGGTGTGAACCAGTTGTTTCGCCATCCATGTCACGTTGAACATGAATGGAAGTTGGTCTTGAAACACCAACACCTAGTCCTTCATTATCAAGAGCAACGGTTCTTCCTGAACGAGATACCTACGACCAGCTCATCAATGCAACCAACAAGTTTACTTAAAGCGCTTCCAGGTGGTGCGTTCTGCTATCACGGCCTCTGCAAGGGGGATACGAAAAACTTGACAGAAAACCAACTTCCGCCGATTTGGAAACGAGTCCAACTCAGTTCGAAGGGCAGGCAACCTTCAAATTGCATATATCAGCTTCATTCAACCGAGCCCTTTATTTAGAAGTTTGAAAAAGGGGAAGTTGGTGGAGAGCACAACGGAGGGTGTCACACTGACAGATTGACGCAGGCAAGCGCATTGTAATGCACATATTTGACAAGACCTTAAAGGTGACAGCAATTCATTGTAGCCAGCCATATCGAAAATCGTATAAACTTCCGGCTTCAGCTTTGAATTTACTTCCTATTCGGGAGTAAGCATGAGTCAATTCAACTGCTTTCAACGTCTTTGGAGAAAAAAAAAAAACGATATTTTCGAACCTCAAGCAACAAATTTTGGATAAAACATAAGCAAAAAAGGGTCGAGTTCTCTTGCCAAATATTTCACAGCTTGTCCGATAAAGACGCAAGGAAGAGCCAACTTGGATTTTATCTACACCACCCGGGAATAATAAATCAGTTTTTCTTTCTCAAAAAGATGAATAAAAACACGATGATATTAGCATTTAACACCCCCAAAAAGGAAAACAACAAATTAAAACTTGCCTCTTTTGGGAAACTGTTTCAGAAGATTATTGAAGTTCACCGCCTCGTCTCGCTTCTTCTCGGGCAGTTTCTCGAGTTCCCTGCAAAGGGGGTTCAAGTGAATGTACTTTTGTTGGAACCAATTGAACACTTCCATTGAAATACCACATTAGCCCCAGCAACTTCCCTATCTCCTGACCTACTTCCGCCGCAGTGGCCCATTCTTTGCCATTATTCCAAAGGCAGTATGACCGAAGCTTACAAGGTGTGAGTAAAGGGGTATAAAACGAAGTTTAAGCCTGTCTATCGACAACAAGTGAAGTCCTCAGCCTCCTCAAATTTAATTCAAATTTTTTCCTTGTCCTTTAAAAGTACTACCTCTAAATAGGCCAAGAAAGTGATTTTCTTCGAGTGACAAGAAAAAGACAGCTTTGATACGGCGACGAATTTGGTAGAGCCAAGAAAGGAACATTGCAAGGAGATTAGAAAGCTACCGTCTGCTCGGATTCTTCTGTCCCCTAACAGATTGTTTGAAGGTGTATTGTGTACGAAAATAATCCCTGATGGTGCCAAAAGGTGTTACCATATTGCGGGTATTTTATCACCATCCCTATGACAACACTATCTCCATGAACTGCAGCAAGGTTTCACATCGGTCATCGGCTTTGTTTTTTGTTTACTTAAAACAAGAGGGAAGAAAAACCAGCATTAATTCATGTCAAAACAATGCTGAAAAGTGGTTTCAGGGACATTCTGGCAGCAAAAGTTGATCTTTTGCCTTGTCACCTTCGCAGCGGGGTGATTGAAAGAACAGCCAGCCCACGAAGAATGTTTCAGGGGGAATTTTGACGGTTGTCAAAAAGAGGTGGAACCATAGAGGGTCTGTGTAAAGTTCGAAAGGGGGAGGGGAGAGTGGGTTCTTTCTCCCACATGGTTTGTGCGTGGAAGAAATGTGGTGTAGTACGAAGTAATTACGACGCCAGGCTCATCAAATCACCCCTTTTCGTCCTCTCGTACCTTTTTTCCTGCCCTTTCGTTCGCGCCTCCATTTAGTCATCCAACACAAACTCGTTAACGTACACATTCATTACTACATTGAGGAGACATGCCGTTTTGTAAAACAAGTTTCACAACATGAAAAGGCCTAATCGGCTCCAAAGGAAGAGAATTTCTCTTGTCGTAGGCAATCCCCGAAAAATGAGGTTAAGCTTCGCTAATTTAGAGTTCAAACCTAGTAACTCCTACTGTCAACTTCACGAAAAAGAAGATTTACCTTCGTTTTGGGACTTTTACCAAGGAAATTTGAGCTGAAATGAGACATATCACTTACGCCTGAGAGTACTCGAACTTCTCACGAAGGTAATCAGAGAGGTTTTCCAAGACGTTTTCCGAGTGTAGAGCCACAAATTCCTCACGGCAGATCTGGAAGGAACATTCAAATGCTGGGTAAATTAAAGACCTACTAACAAACCACTTTGAGACAGTCAGATCCCCTACAACAGGGGAATGAGCGTCGTGACCCTGAAGCGCTCATGTTGGAATAACTTCCACTACGACGGACGATTTTGGTCTTGTAAACACAATGTTCTCGTGGGAGACCTAAGCTGAGACTGAATAGCTAAAAAAAGTGCGGCTCGAGTCACATCGGAAAGTGTAAAAGAGACGAATCGGAAAGACAGCTTCATCAGTAACGCGTAAACGGAACGCGAAGCTAGTAGTGCGGATGGTAGACGTTGATGCTATCAGCGTGGGGGTTGGATCAAGGGAGGATGGGAAAATCCAAGCAGGAATAATAGCATGTACCGCTATGCTACAACAAAGATGATGGACGGTAGCACCTTCATTGACAGAGACTTGCCATCACCCCGGATAAAAAAAGTTCTGTCGCTACGGGCGAAGACATGCCCTTTTCTGAATCACCTCGGTTTCTATACCAATTTTGACCTCCACCTGTTCATTCCATTTTGTGTGTGATCATGTGATTTTCAAATGCCAAGAAAGAAGATAGTAACCACAGGAAGCTTGGAAAAATATCATTAGAGGAATGCGAGGGATGAGGCAGTATCTCCTATTCTCTTCACCTTAAAGTACAAATTCTCTCATGGTCAAGATGTGTGGCTCTAGGAGGTCATATGCGACACGGTCTTTCAATTCTTCCTCTAATTGCGGCTATCCTGGCTACTTTGGAATTAAATAATCCCCTCCTACACGTCTTCAAGTTGTATCAGAACTGGTGCATTAATCTCGAGTAATTTTAGTCGGTAGTGGAACCTGCCTCTTCATCATTCATGCTTAAGAATGGAAGATCTTTCTAAATGTGGCGATTCATCACCAGAATCAAGCTAATTAAGTCTTCGAAGAGAGGCTTCACCAACCCCGAAGCCAAGTTGCACACGATTCGTGGGGCAGCAGACCAGCCCGGATCGCATCCACCAGGTTCAGCCAACATTTGATGGCATGAAGGCTCAAGGTAATAAGGAGTAATGTCCACGTACAATTGCATTTCATAAGTTCCCTACGAGTTTCAAGTTATAGCATCTAGCTATGACAAAGACAGCACGAAGCTTCTTCGGTTTTGTGAAAGAAAAAATCAGCTAAACGCACGAACTCACAGGCGGTGTGTGAACCAACAACTTACGCTTACACTTCCACACTTGTCAAATGTTTTGTCGCTGCGTGTGAATCGGATTGACCCTGTTCTTGTTCCAATTTTAAAAGCAAAAACTTAAATTAGAAGGTCAAATATACCGAGTCGACTTGGGTGAAATGACTTAACAATTGATCAAAAACCACTACCGGTGGTCCTTTTGAAAAGCGGGACCGCAATTCAGGCATTCACACTCACAACATTTGAGGTTAAATGCAAAAATTCACTCAAATTTTGTTGGTGATTTTAAGTCCGGGGGTAAAAATAATGTATCAAAAGTTTGAACCGGGTGGAAGAAAGTCGTTGGTTGAGCAATGCTGAACAATAGTGGGTAAGGGAAGCAGATTACCCAATAAGAATAACAACTACTAGGCAATGAAGTTATTGCAAATTGCCAGTGAAAATTTGAAAGTGAGAATTGATTACTTTTAACAATTGAGGAACTTGTGGAAAAGAAAAAAAAAACATACTTCAAAAAGTCAACTGCAAGTGTCAAAACGCAACACGAGCAATTTAGGTTAATGCAATCACACCACCCAATCCACCTGTCCAAAAGAACTGAGATGCTGTCTTACTTCGCACATTCTACAAACAAATGAGCTCCAAATGGAAGTTTTTTTTGTTACCTCGGCAAAAAATTCTCTTAACCTAATTTTTCTCTGCTAGACGCCAGTCTAATTTTGATTTGTGTGCAGCAAAGAGGAGTACAGGAGAGGGAGGAAGAGGGATGAGGCGGGGGACAGCTGGCGACATTGAGGAAATGAATTCGTCCAAGTCCTAGGCGCCTGAACCACATATTTTGAACATTTTGTGTCCACAAAATCAGCTCGTATGTGGTCCAGGTGTAACGATCGCCCTACGACGACGAAAAAGAGTGGAAAATCGGAAACTTGGGCTATTGGACATGGACGAAAGTTGGTTTGGAGCTTCGAGAAAGACGGAGTTGAGAGGGGAGCAAGAAAGTAAACCTAACCTTTCTTCTTGAATCGCAAGTGACAGAAGCATGGAAGATTTTGATAAGGGGAAGATACTTGGCATTTCAATTCTGGATCTACAGATCCCATGTGCACCCATCCATCCATCCATCTCTCTGTTCCGGACTCACCCGCCTATCCATGTCAAACCTGTCCATTCATTCATGTATCTATCCTAACGTCCCATTAACGCAGTTTTCTCAGGTCCATCCACCCAGCTCTGATCCTCCTATTAGTCTCATTTTCATGCATCGAGCTACTACCTCCCTTCAGCACAGAGGAATGAAGGCATAGAAAATACTCCCATACCAAACCGACTCCAAATTTGTGTTTGATCCGTTTTTCAAAAAGCAAACCCCCCTTCCAAATAACTATTTCCTGTAGAGACAGTTTTGACGATAATAGTACTGATCGAAAAGGTACCACAGCATCTTGGTAGGATGTCAGTTTACTTTTCCTCCTTCTTTCCTCCTCGTAAGGGCATTTGTGTGAATGGAAGAAAATGAAAGGCTCTCGCCCGCTCCTCCCTCAAACACTGATTGGATGAGGCGCTGATTTTGCGTGTCTGGAATAAAAGTGGACTTCAAAGAAGGCGACTGGAGAATGGCACAGACGCCTCGAAACTTCGCTACACCCACCCAGCTAGAGTCAACAGTTACCACCACCACTACCAAGAGTATCACGGCTGACATTTCACCTGCCTAATTAGCTTTAATTTGTAATAACAGCTTTTTCCCGAATGCTTTTGATCTGATCAAAAAAAGCCGGCTGAAAAGCGAATTGCAGTGCGGCGCCTCTGTAAATGATTGGTGGACCTGCATCGAGGGAAAAAAGTTCGAGCAAAAGGTGCCGAAAGCTGTGCAACAGACAAACTCGTGCCGGAACATTCCCCCCCCCCTCCTCCTCTGCTGGTGCAGAGAAAAAAGACAGAAATTCGAGCGATGAAGAATCGCAACATAGAAAGGGCGCATGAGAGAGCACGACTTCGAATGATAGCCTGTTGGAATTAGCCCACCCTATTTCTGTATGGTTATCATTTTACCTACAGAAGAAATTCTCCTTACCGTCGGATGACGATAACAAACCAGGTGGCATAAATGGAAAACTTTAAATGAAAACGTTTACGCTACACCGTGGGCATTTGCTCAGGTCTCCTAACTGCTGAATTAATGGCAGACATGATTCATGGTATGTGCAATTTTCAAGCGTTCGCTTCAACTGTTAGCCGTGGAGGGGTTCTGAGGTGCTCTCTTCATTCCCAATGTTCGCAACTATAGCAAACTAAACCAGAACGTCTACCCTTGAAATGACTGCCTGCTGATAGACGATGACGCCACGAGAACCAACTTCATACCTATGTTCAAGCACTTGCACCAACAGAGGTGAATTCGTGAACACCCATTTCCGTGATTAAGGTATAAGGTTTATAATGATTACTTTTATGCTACTATGCAAGATCTTTCGGTTTTTAATCGCAAAACAATCGCCTTAGAATCATGAATGAGCAGTTGATAATTCGTTACCAATGGATTAACACTCCATTACGGGGAAATCAATCCAAGCAGCGGGAGAAAAATGGTTTTTTCTTCTTTCCATCCGTCTCCACAAAGGTCGCACCTCACACCTTTGGGTGGTCACTAGGGCAACAAGAGGAAGGTGGAGGCGGGGAAAGACAGGCAGGAGGCCTGGTCGGTGGGCTGAAATTACTATGTCGCACTCATCACTGACTAATCGTCTCCATGTCCGACCTACAAATCGGCATGTTTCGACCTCCTCCTACTCCTGCTCCTTTCCTTCTCCTTCTTCTTATTCCTCTTCTCTCCCGCCTCCTTTTACGTGCAAAAAGATCTTTGTCGGAAGCCAAATGGAAAAAATCCAAGGTTAGACTTCACAGACTCCCCTTCCTCCTTACGGAGGAAAGGAATTTGACGGCAGTCTCTGCTGCTCGACAGCAGAATGACATTGCCTTATTTACTAACTGCGTCAATCTACTCGGTCTGCTTGCGGGTGGCGTGGTGCTTCGCTTATGCCACACTTCTGTCAGTAGGCCGTTTGGTTAGAAAAGGGAACACAACCCACATCCAGACACCTCTGCCGCCTGACGCGTACAACGAAAACTGGGACGTTACCGTGTAATGTGATGACTGGACGTTGAGGTGGTGTGAATAGTGGTATCTCCTTCAATGGAGCGTCAAGGATGATTATGTGGAAATACATTCCTATTCATATGCTCCAGTGATCAGAAAATAGCGGGAATACTTCGAGACTTTGATTCGGATAGTAGAATACTTGTTTCTTCTTCCTCCACAATAATTTTCCCTTAGTTATAACAAACCTCCGCTAAATTCGGTATCCTGTGAACGGGCTTTTGCGATGTTGGCATTAAGCTTGTACTACTTTGTTGGTTACTTCTTTGGGAATAACTCGAACTCTGAAATAACACCAGCAGCTACGCTTCAAGATGAAATTGTTGAAGCCTACCTTAATGCGGCCTCAGCTATTCTGATGCAAAGAAGAGTATAAATGTGCATTTCGTCGGAATCATAATGCATCCGGAACGCTTTAGGGCCTGGATTTAGTTAACAGATAGTTGTGTATCCTATCCAGCCCCTAATAATAAATCGCTCTGATAAAGTTCACTTTGTTCCTTCCGGTGAAACAAGCATAAAAATCACTTTGACCTTTAAATATACAGTTTAGACAGGATCTAAAGGTCAAGCTAAAAGACATGAAAAAGCGAAGAAAGTATTTGATTGGTTAATGAGGTTTCATAAACTCTCCTCGGATCAGCATGCCACCCGTATCAGTACTGCCTCCTTCAGGAAGCGTCCAAGACTCCCCTTCGCATCAAGTAACGCAAGATGCGGTCATTTTAAAAACCGCTTTGATACAGACGGCCTTTGTATCAGATAAAAAGCCTATACCGCTCTTTTCATAAACCTTGGACATTCAACGTGCGACATCTTATTTCTACGTTGAGTACATTGCAGTTAAAAGCGGATGTGGGAAATTTGGCATTCATAAGGTCCAAATGACCTTTTTACTATTTCTCAATGACGATATAGATACTAGCAACTGCCTACTAAAAGGCGCAAAAGAGGTACCCCAGCATCACACTTGGTCGTTCTGAGTCCAGGAATCAGCACTTTTAACCGATTGCCAGAATCCATAAAACCACGTCCGTGAACATGAAGGAAATTAAGAAATACGGTCATGGAAGACAATTACTACCTTCCATTAGAGGCTAGGACATTAAAAGTGCATCCAAACGCCTTATATTCCCTCACCAAGGGGGTGGCACATGACTACGCCTGTTTGGCAAGCCGACTATTCTGCAGTTTATGAGAAAAATTTGCAACTCTGCAAAACTGGAACGCAAAACTTCACTGGAGGCAGAGCCACTATTCTGTCAAACAGTAGAGATCAGGAATAGAATATGCATACGTCGAGAGAGCCAATTCATATCCCATTATTGCATATATTCCTCCTTTCCTAGGCTATCACCGAGTAGACTAGATGTGACCTACTGATGTGAGGTGCGTCCAGGGCATTCGGGAAGTCCGGCGGGCTGTATTCACATACACAAGGTAAAGAGTAAGAATCCTCAAACTGGTTCATGACAAAAGAATAATAACCGTTGAAGGGGTGTTTGGAAAGCTGAAGGTGGGTGATGGATTGGCTCGAGAGGACCCAGGATAAGTCCCCTTCGTAGTGGGCGCAAATAAATGGGAGATAAATAAGTTAAAAATAGGCGAAATAGGTAAACCTAGGATCGGATGTTAATCCTTTGATACGATAGAATGAAGAAAATCGGGCAGAGAAGTTAGTAACCATATAAAAATTGAAGACAATAATGGGTGCATCATGATCATGAGTGTTTGCCCTCTGTGGAAA